ACTAACTAACTCTGACACCCGGGATGACAGTTATTGGACTTAGAGGTTTTAATTTCATACATCTATCTGTTCATGATTTCAAACATTGTTCAATAGACGTTTCAAGTACGATATCTTTTAATTGATTCTTGTCGTTCAAAGTAAATATAACTTCAAACATGCACATATTTCAAATTACAGTTCTTTATATTAATTATTTTAATAAATATATAATATATGTAATGTAAATATAATATATATAATAATACTATATCAATATATGTATGCTTACTTAATGAAAGGGTTTAGAGTTTTCTAATATTTTCATATTTCAAAACTGAGTACGAGATGGTGTGTCCCCTGAATTGTTCAGTTGTCTAATTATTATCTTGGGTGATAACACTACAAGAGGAGGTGACGGTGATGATGGTCGAAGATGAGGCTCTTGTGGTAGTGGAGATGCTAACATCATCCCATGATCAGAAGACGAAGGTGTAGTAGGAGCTGCTGCCATTTCTTTATTGTTAACTCGACCTAATGGGGCTTCTGTTACTTTGTTCAGTTCGTCATCTATTATCTTCAGGGGTAATAATAATATTGGTGGCAATGATGATGGTGGTGGTGGGGATGGTGGTGAACTTGGTGGCGGAGATCTTATTATTATCATCTCATGATGAGAAGACGAAGGTGTAGTAGGAGCTGCTCCCGTTTCTTCATTGTTGACTTCATCTAACAATTCTCCTGTTATTTTGTTCAGCTCGTCATCCATTATCTCCTGGGGTAATAATATTGGTGGCAATGATGGTGGTGGTGGAGGTGGGGAGATTATTATCATCTTAGGCGCAGAACTTGTAGTTGTATTCGAATGTGAAGATATGATGGATTGATGTTGTTGTTGAGGTAATATTGGTGATGATGATGAGTGATGATGAGAAAATATATATAAATACTATATACTGTCGCTTCTTGGCTTTACTTTTCTTAATAAATATAAATAGGCATCTATTTATCAAATTAACCTTCCAAAAATTTATAATTATAATTATCATATGCTATCCCATTATTTGTTGTTAACTCACTGACTCTTTTTGAAAGTTAACTAATGAAGTAGAAATTTTAATGTTTCTCTTTCTTTACAGATTGATTATTTTAATATTGTACAACTCAAGGGAAAGGATATGATGAATATAATCTCAGTATCAATTATCATCTATCTGTCAACCATTAATTAATAAATAGATACCTCTGAATCCCTGGTGATGATAATAGTTTCGTTCTGGTTCCCAGCCTCAGCAGTCGGTGGTTGACGGCAGTGGTGTTCTTCAACATCTTGTTCTCGACTTCCTTCCTGGTCTCCAATAGGATCATCTTCTTCTTCCCCCTCTTCTTCAATTAGATTCATCGTTAATAAGTCTTATTCAGTGATATCCGTTCCTTGCAGCTGTTTGTACATCGATGGTGAGAGTTCCGTTTGCATACCGATGGGGAGTTCGATCCCAAAGACCGCCTTGTACGGTGACAGTCCAACACCCCGGGAATATGCTATATTCTTATTAAATTGTACGAAGGGAAGACCGGCCGACCAATCTCGAGTTCGATTCTCACACATCCAACTGCCAAGCATTTTTGTAATGTCGCCGTTGGCCCGTTCTATGCTTCCCTTACTCTGGGGATGCCGGGGCTTACCGTTTAAAGGATTAACTTGGGCCATAATTCCGTCCGTAACGGATGAATCACTGCCGCCACGAATTCACGGCCGTTGTCGCTTTGCAGATATCGAGGGGCTCCAATGAGCGTAAAGATATCCAGCAAGTGACGAGCGACTTCTATCGCCTGTTTAGAGCGAAGAGGTCAGAGAAATGAGAACTTGGTTAGATTGTCTTGGTAATGAAGAATGTAGTTGAACAAACATTCCCCATCCTTATGCTTGTCTATCAAATCCATCTGTCCTCTCTCTCCGAAACTCTCAGACACGATGGGTATAACTACCCCTTTCTTACACCTGGGAACACGTTTTAAGTTGCAAATTTGACATAAAGAAATGAATAGTTTTACTTCTTCTTGGGTTACATTGGCAACCGTCTTGCTTACTTGAAAAACAGTTCTTTTTTCTCCTCCATGGCCGAGGGCGTTATGGGCGTCGTAAATTGTGTCATATAGTTGCCCCTGGTCAATAAATCTGCGGTATACACGTTGGGGGGTCTAATGCGGAGGTTGCTGCTGCTGTTAATGTTGAGCTGATTAACTTGCGTTTTATTCCCCGCTTCAGTCTCTTTTCGGTTTGTTCTACGCTGACCAGAATGTCTTCTCCGAACTTGTTTTTCACATCATATCGCGACAACAGATCGTATTCATGGGAAGTTTTTGTAGTGTTCTTAAATTTAGCTGCATTTACTTCACTAATGTATTTCTTTAACTTTTCGCGACTAAAAATCTTTCGACGTTCCCTGCATGGTTTTGACAACATTTGGCGTATCTGAAGGTCAAATTCTTGTTTGTGACAAACTTCTTTTTCTCCCTTTTCATTTTCACTTCTTTGTCCACAAGTCAATAATGACGCTGGAGCACTTTAAGGTACTGATTCGAGTGTATCCATCGTGTGGGTATCTGATTGACACTGATATCTATGACTGACCCCGCCTTATGTCGTTACCTCATTTTACCGCAGTCAGGAGACGATCGACCAATCACGAGCCTGCTTTCTTTGCTTAATGAGCAGTTACAATTTGTGCATACTTGGACAACTTGTGTACACTCGGCCAGAATCGACAGTGACCTTGCTGAATTAACTAAGTAAGACGAAAGCCTTACATATTAGGCCAAATAGTGAGTTACGGCTATTAGGTACGACACATATATATATATATATATATATATATATATATATATATATATATATATATATATATATATATATATATATATATATAGATATATATATATATATATATATATATATATTAATAGGGTATTAATTTCATCAGCCTACTCATCATTTCATTTCACCCAGGGCACTAAATTTCATTTCACCCAGCCTACTCATGAGAAACTCTCCAGACACAAAACAGAACGCTTTAAAAGAGACTAACGTCGTCTATGCCTTCAAATGCCCTCTTGGGGACTGTAAGCTCCAAAAAACCCAGTATATAGGCAAGACAACATCTCTTTCTAGGCGTTTAACGATGCATAAGCAACAGGGCTCCATTAAGGAACATATAATCTCTTCCCACAACCAAACCATCGCCAGAGAAATCCTAGTAAACAACACAGAAATCATTGATAGATACAGCGATAGCAGGCGGCTTGACGTTTGCGAGGCACTACACATCAAGAAGTCAACACCAGCAATCAACAGCCAATTATTGCACAACTATATTCTACCCACCTCAAGATATATATATATATATATATATATATATATATATATATATATATATATATACATATATATATATATATATATATATATATTTATGTATATATATATATATAATATATATATGCGAACAAGCCTGAATGGTCCCCAGGACAATATGCAACTGAAAACTCACACCCCAGAAGTGACTCGAACCCATACTCCCAGATGCCACGCAACTGGTATGTACAAGACGCCTTAATCCACTTGACCATCACGACCGGACATAATGAGGTGATAGCCGAGGCTATTTGAACCACCCACCGCCGGCACTCGGATAGTAATCTTGGGCATAGCATTTTACCAAATCACCTCATTCTTTGGGGCACACGTGAGGAACACAAATGCGAACAAGCCTGAATGGTCCCCAGGACAATATGCAACTGAAAACTCACACCCCAGAAGTGACTCGAACCCATACTCGTAAATTTAGTCGTGATGGTCAAGTGGATTAAGGCGTCTTGTACATACCAGTTGCGTGGCATCTGGGAGTATGGGTTCGAGTCACTTCTGGGGTGTGAGTTTTTCAGTTGCATATTGTCCTGGGGACCATTCAGGCTTGTTCGCATTTGTGTTCCTCACGTGTGCCCCAAAGAATGAGGTGATTTGGTAAAATGCTATGCCCAAGATTACTATCCGAGTGCCGGCGGTGGGGTGGTTCAAATAGCCTCGGCTATCACCTCATTATGTCCGGTCGTGATGGTCAAGTGGATTAAGGCGTCTTGTACATACCAGTTGCGTGGCATCTGGGAGTATGGGTTCGAGTCACTTCTGGGGTGTGAGTTTTCAGTTGCATATTGTCCTGGGGACCATTCAGGCTTGTTCGCATTTGTGTTCCTCACGTGTGCCCCAAAGAATGAGGTGATTTGGTAAAATGCTATGCCCAAGATTACTATCCGAGTGCCGGCGGTGGGGTGGTTCAAATAGCCTCGGCTATCACCTCATTATGTCCGGTCGTGATGGTCAAGTGGATTAAGGCGTCTTGTACATACCAGTTGCGTGGCATCTGGGAGTATGGGTTCGAGTCACTTCTGGGGTGTGAGTTTTCATAATATATATATATATATATATATATATATATATATATATATATATATATATATATATATATATATATATATATATATATATATATATATATATATATATATATATATATATATATATATATATATATATATATATATATATATATATACATATATATATATATATATATATATATATATATATATATATATATATATATATATATATATATATATATATATGTCATACCTAATAGCTAGAACGCACTTCTCAGCCAACTATGCAGGGCCCGATTTGCCTAATAAGCCAAGTTTTCATGAATTAATTGTTTTTCGGCTACCTAACCTACCTAACCTAACCTAACCTACCTTTTTCGGCTACCTAACCTAACCTAACCTATAAAGATAGGTTAGGTTAGGTTAGGTAGGGTTGGTTAGGTTCGGTCATATATCTATGTTAATTTTAACTCCAATAAAAAAAAGTTGACCTCATACATAATGAAATGGGTAGCTTTATCATTTCAAAAGAAAAAATTTAGAGAAAATATATTAATTCAGGAAAACTTGGCTTATTCGGCAAATCGGGCCTTGCATAGTAGGTCAAAAAGTGCGTTCTGGCTTCTAGGTACGACATATATATATATATATATATATATATATATATATATATATATATATATATATATATATATATATATATATATATATATATATATATATATATATATATATATATATATATTATTAAATATGACCGAAAAAGTAAGATTAATAATTCTAACACGAATTTTCTCAATCTTTCGTACATTACGCTTCACTGTTGGAGGTAAATAAAAAATCACTTCTCCAAAATTCATTTTTATTTCTAGTCTGACGCGACACGGGCGCGTTTCGTAAAACTTATTACATTTTCAAAGACTTCACAAATACACAACTGATTAGAACTTGCGTTTCCCTGATTTTATATCTACATTTGAGTGAGGTGGGAAGGGTGATGTGGCATTAACACAAGACAGAACATTAGGGGATATTAATAGGGTATTAAAAGTATCAACACAAGACAGAACAGAAACAATGGGTATTGAATAGAAGTGTTTGTAGAAAGTCTATTGGTCCATATTTCTTGATGCTTCTATATTGGAGCGGAGTCTTGAGGTGGGTAGAATATAGTTGTGCAATAATTGGCTGTTGATTGCTGGTGTTGACTTCTTGATGTGTAGTGCCTCGCAAACGTCAAGCCGCCTGCTATCGCTGTATCTATCGATGATTTCTGTGTTGTTTACTAGGATTTCTCTTTCGATGGTTTGGTTATGGGAAGAGATTATATGTTCCTTAATGGAGCCCTGTTGCTTATGCATCGTTAAACGCCTAGAAAGAGATGTTGTTGTCTTGCCTATATACTGGGTTTTTTGGAGCTTACAGTCCCCAAGTGGGCATTTGAAGGCATAGACGACATTAGTCTCTTTTAAAGCGTTCTGTTTTGTGTCTGGAGAGTTTCTCATGAGTAGGCTGGCCGTTTTTCTGGTTTTATAGTAAATCGTCAGTTGTATCCTCTGATTTTTGTCAATAACGGCTTCTCCAATGGTTTCATCGAAGACATCATAAGAAGGAAAGTGAAAAGCCATGCAACCTCCGAAGAGACAACTAACACAACACCTATACCCCCTATTAGACTATTTTACAGGAACTTCTTTTCCACAGCTCATAAAACGGAGGAAAGGGTCCTGAAAGATATTGTTAATAGAAACGTTATCCCTACAGACAAAAATCAGAGGATACAACTGACGATTTACTATAAAACCAGAAAAACGGCCAGCCTACTCATGAGAAACTCTCCAGACACAAAACAGAACGCTTTAAAAGTGACTAATGTCGTCTATGCCTTCAAATGCCCACTTGGGGACTGTAAGCTCCAAAAAACCCAGTATATAGGCAAGACAACAACATCTCTTTCTAGGC